CGCCGCTGTGACTTCTCAATCTCAAGAAGCAGCGGCTATGGAACAAGCCTTTCCAGATGCCAGTATTTCGGACAATGTCGAACAGCGTAAGGCCGGCGACTTGTCTAAGAAAGCCCATTTCAGCAGCTTGTACCCCGGCCGTAACTAATCGTGGGGATAAGGATCGACTTAAATACCAAAAGCTTAATTTTCAGACTTAGCTCTGCTTTAATCAGAATTGATCGGGATAGTTCACGCAGAACGTCACTAGCTACTTCAATCCGGCGGTCGATCTCTTCCTCAAATTTTCCATCACCAGTAAATATGACTCCGAAGTACTTGAACTTCTCTACCTGTTCCACTGCCCTTTCCTTTAATCTGAGGAGAGCAACAGGTAGGAAAACGAGAAAGCACTAGGCTTTACATTTTAAAAGTGTCCAAAAGCATGCCGATCATGTCGCACTCGGCTGCTGCAGATGAGTTTCAGAAGATGCCAATAAATCAATTTCGTCTGCAAATGGCAACCTTTTCATCAAGAGCCGATACAATCATCGCCGTGGCTGTACCTGAACATTCTGTCCATGTGTTATCTATAAACAGGAGAGGGAACAGAACGCAGCCTCGAATACTTTCGAACGGGATCTGTTCAAACAGTCGTGCAATATTACTTGCAAATTTCGGTCTCGTATACGGCGAAGAAAGTGTTTCCCGTTTAGTTCTGTAGTTCCTTCTGCCCCAGATCTTCGCATAGTTCTCCATTTCTAACCGCTTGCATGCTAGGAACAAGGTGGCGCTCGTATCGCAGCTCTGCGCCTCTCATAACGCGAACGTCCACTGCAGATCGTCGTAAGTCAGATGATGATACGAGCATAAAATCAATCATCTACTTCTCTGCACAAGTTTCCCTATACGAGATGTACTGATGCACACTGCAACACTAGAAAAAGGTGTTCATGATGGACAGTCCGTTGTTTGCACAAACCGCAGCAAAGTCAATGCCGGTTTTTCAAATCACGCCTTTCCATGTTTCAGTTTATGCAACAACATACGCATTAAAATGGCCCATTAGAATGAGGCACTTTGTAATCGGCACTTCGTACAGAGCACATTCCGCTTCGTCAAGAAGTGAGCCATATTTTCCCTTAAAATTGGACGAATAGACCTGTAAGATGGTTAATACCTTAGCTTATTGTAGCTTCAGTCGGAGAACTGCCACCCTTCCGCTGACAGGATTCCAATCAATGACTCCATCAGCCAGGTTGGATTGTACCAACACCGGCCTGAGCGCGCGTCGTGATATTGAGAGCTGAATAGAATAACCTCCATTCGCAGAGGTTCAATATTCCAGAGCCTGAGCGTTTCGATGACTAGAGTCCAAACTATGTCGAGTTGATAGCTTACGCCCTCATCAATTAACTCTTGCTCTTTCCCTATGAGTGAGGATACATTCCAATTTCTGATTGTAAACTCCCACTGGAATTGTCGTTCTCGCGGAGCCTTTTCTGACGTGCTATAATGACATCGCGCTGTCTGCCTCCTCCGTTCAGAACGGGTAGCGACTCCATTGCTGACTAGCATCTTCGTTGTCGTTCCATCGACCTTCGTCAGCCGTTGTTGTGCTGCTATTCCCCCAACTGGCATACCGTGATGAGCAGGTTCTGATCGACGTCTTTTCGTAGAGTTCGTAGTCCGCCTCAGTCCCTCAATAGCTTGCGTAATCCGGACGACGACCGAGACGATATGATTTCCGATGACGGCAATACCATAAGAGACCGGTGCTAAGTTTTTCGGAGACTTCATCACTGTTTCAAACTCTGATTTTTACTCATCCGAGTAAGGGATCGACAATGGTAGAGTTCTCAATTCCCTCTAAATCGAACGGTAATTTGCATAGGAGAAACGTGAAATGCATTTAAACAAAGGAAGCACATGTGATTAATCTGGTTGGATGAATAAGTGCGGAGCGAGACAAAAAGAACAGTGAAAGACCTCGATTGCATCAAAGCTGAATGCGATAGAATTCAGCAGTTGTGCATTTCGCAGTTGCAGCAGGTCATAACGATGATGAAGGGAGTCTTTCGAGGTGACTTGGAATGTCGCAAGATCAGAAAAGATCTCATCATCCGGACTTAAGCCATTGAACCGAAACAATGGTACGGAAACGACAGACATCTAAACAAGCATTTCTCTGTCGACTATTTGACTGCGTGCACCAACCGACCGTCCGTTTAGCATATGGAAGTATCAGAGGATCTCTACCACAGGATTATATTGTGAGTTCAGCCATTCGTTGATGACTGAATTGACTTGCTCGCTTTACCTTATTGCAAAACTGGTGAATGTTGAGTCATACGACAGTGACTGAAATGTCTATAAAATTAGCTAGACTAGTGCAGAAGAATGTAGCTCAAAGGCATGCTCTCGGAAGTTCATATGCATTCGGTGCTAACATTTAAAATAATCGTTTCTATGATAAACAGTGAAATATTGCTATAAATGTCCACTTGATATAAAAAAAAAACTTTTCTCAGTGAATGTTTTTGAACCATCACAACAGAGTAATTTGTCTGGAAGATCTCAAATCCATATAAAGTATATAGGAAAGCTTCACCATGTAAGGGGTTAGTCATCTTCTAACATGTAGAAATTATGTTCGCCAATTTACCCATCAGAAATGAATAGACAATCAGTTTAATCGTTCAAATTCATGATGTAGGTTGACGATCAGCATCGGTACATACTAACTGTAAAATTTTCCTGTATCACGATTGTCAATCGTATGAAACGTGCAATCAGTATTCGAGGAAAAACTAGCAAATCGGAACGCTAATAAAAGGAGAAATTGACTGTCAACAGCAAGTTCCAAGGAAAGAGAAGCACCTATATAAAATTAGCGTGCATAAATATTTATTGAAAAACGAAAACGAATATGAGACTTTTGTCCAACCCGCGATAAGATCCGCAACAACCTTATATCAAATTGTAGTTCACCTCTGAAAAGAATGTCAAACGTCCTGTTTTAATCCCGATTGAACGACGAATCTTTTTTATCCCAGAATTGTGGTCTTGATTTGAAGGGACAGAATTGCGAGAGTGGCAGCAAAGGAAGCAGCCATAGAACCGTTCTTGCACCGATGCAAGTTGTTTAGCGTACTGTTTTTTTGTTCTTTAATTTCAGATTTTTGTACACTGCATCCTGACAGTCGGCAGCTTTCCCGTCTCATCCTAGGCAATAAATTGAACCGAATTTAATTGAGAATTGGTTACGAGCTGATATTAAAAGGAGGTTTGCTGTAAACAGTGAACAGTGAACAAATCTGACGACTACCAGGCTGTGAGATGCCAGTGTCTGCCATGACGCAGCACCGGCTGGTAGGCTGACCTTGGTATGTGTCTCTTCTTATTTGTCAATGTAGCCCTGAGATAGTTTCTCTGCAACGACGTATAAAATCTCTTTCTCTGTCGCCTCTTACTTTTGCAAATCGCACCGACGATAAATATAACCTGATTATGACAGCATGATTATCCCGAACTTCAAAAGCTAACCCAACGTGGCTTGGATGTGTCGGCGCCAGCATGATCGGAAGTATAGTCACTCAAGCAGAGGGAAATTGCCTCGTCACGTCAAATACGATGAATTTGCCTTCAGTAATTTTTGAGCGTTACTATCCCACCCATCAGTTGTAGTTCTTACGAAAAGACGATCAGAATAACAGCCAATACTTAGAAGCTCATCGGCTGTTCGCAGACAACTGAAGGATATGGAGTTATGTTCAAACATATGTACGTATGTATGTATGTATGTACGTATGTATGTATGTATGTACGTATGTATGTATGTATGTATGTA